TTTAGAACTAGCCTAGCAGCTGAGTTCTAGAGCTTTCGGCAGTTTTTCTGTTAAATGTTTTGGCGAACCTGGCAGAAGAGAGTTACAATAGTCAAGACGAGAGAGAACAAAGCACAGACTAGAGTTTTTGTTGCGCCGATTGTGAGGTAGCGGCGGATGGAGCTGATCTGACGGATAGCGGTGTACGCAGAGCGACACATGTGAGAAATATGAGTATTGAGAGACATGTTGCCAGAAAGAATGTAACCATGATTCTTAGCGGAGGATGTGAGCTCTATATCGGAGCTTCCTACATGACACGAGATGGGGAGAGCTGAGTTAGAGGATGATTCATGATTGTGCATGAGGAGTGCTTCCGTTTTGTCATCGTTATCTTCTTCAACTTGTTGAGAGTCATCCATGACTTGACATCACCAATGTACTGCTGTAAAGTCCGGATAGCACAATTGATAAGAGGGTAGATGGGTATGTTTGTATAGCTGCATGTCATCTGCAAATGACTGGCTCTCAGCATTCCTCCCGAGCAGGAGGAGACGTGGCCTGGTATACATTGTGAATAGGACGGGATGCAAAACGGACCCCTGTGCTACTCCGTACACCAAGTCAGCACTACCGGAAAAACAGCCATCGACAGCAACAGCCTGCAATCTATCCTAGAAGTAGGACCAAAACAAAGCCAAAACTGAACAGCGTCGTAGAACGAGGACGTCCTGTTGTTATGTATGACTAACGTACTTTTTATATGACCAAACTTATATTTGACATGTGAAACGTTGTATTTTGTGTGTGAATAATTTTGTGTTGTATGTGAATAATGATGTTTTTTTTGTATGGGTCTGGTGTTTTATTTTTGTGTGACTAATGTTGTATTTTGTATGAGGCCAATGTTGTATTTTGTATTAGACTAATGTTGTATTTTGCATGAGACTAATGTTGTATTTTGTATTAAACTAATGTTGTATTTTGCATGAGATTAATGTTTTATGTTGTATGTGTCTAATGTTGTAGTTTGTATGTTACTAATTGATTTTGTATGCTACTAATTTAATATGGTTATGTATTTAACCCCAACCCCAGACTAGACCATACACATTGATGACGTTGCAATATTTCAATGATTTTATTTTTTTTAAAAATGCTGTATCTGCCTTTTAAACAAAATCTGTTAAATTTATTGTTACAAAGCCTTCGCCATTCCAAACAATCAAACAGCTGAATAGTAATATTCTAGGCCAACGGTAAAGGTGGAGATAACAGAATTAATCAAGGGTCCTCAGGCTTTTAAAAGTAACTTGATTAACCGGGTAAAGGATCCCCGGGCGGAGTGGATGTGACCGCTGGGCCGTGGTTTGAGATCCCCTGGAGTAAAAAGTACAACACGCATCGAATAAAGCTCAAATATTGTTTAGAGAAACGATAGCAGCTGGCATTTGATCCTGTAACCTTGGACAAACCAACCCGGAAATATTTGATGAGAGGGAGAGGTCATGTAAGGGAGGTGGGGGGGGGGAGGGCTCGTCGACGCCAGTCAAACCGCGATCAGCGACAGGCCAGGTCGAGTCTGCGCTCCCTGACGTTGGAATGATCTGGAATGAACCCAAGAACGTGTGGTGTCTTTAGTACCGGTTTGTGAGCCTGACTCTCCACCTCGAAATGTAAGCGGATATTTTTATGTGTGTATTTATATATATATATATATATATTTTTTTTATTTTATTTATTTATTTTTTTTTTGAGGTTCAAATTACAACGTCTGAAAGTCATGCAGCGCGTGTCGAAATGAGCCGAGAGCGACTTTACTTATACAATATTTATTTGATCGGGTGCATGACTAAACGTCTGAAACCGGATTAGTCTATTGTTCCATAGAGACGCGGGAGTTCTCCCAGTTGTCTCAGGGGCGGATTCAAGAGAAAAAAACAACAGCCGGCTAAGGAGATTTCCTCACATTCTCTTATTTAATCATTTAGTAAACATTTTGGCTCCATGCTGGAGCATCTTAATGTCAAAATGTGCAACTTTTCCGTCATCATTGATATCCTTGACGTGACGTCCAAATTTACAATGAAACCACCCCCCCCCTATAACGAGAATTTAGATAGAAAATGGATAGAGAAAATTCGTATATTCGTTAGCACATGATTTTGTTTTTAGAATGTGTGAAAAAAAGAAGTGGATAAAATACGTTTACATTATCTCATACAAAAAACAAAAACAAAAAATCACAAAGCTACAGAAACGTGTCCAAGTTATATACCACGTAGCCAAATCAGCATAAAAGATCATCTTGATGAATCTCAAAACTATAATGTAAAAAAAAACAACACATTAACCTGACCCTGCTTTTTTGGAACCACCTTGACAATACAGCCGTGGACTCGGCATCAATCGACAGCTTCAAGGCTGCCCTGGCATCCGCTACGAGCCGTTAGGACAGCAGCATCGCTTCCCCAACCTTTGCACATAGGCCAGTACATGGATTCAGCAACGTACCCTACCAGAACCAGAACAGAAAAGCGGGGTCAATTTTCTGCCTTAAAGCGGGGTTCAACAGTGATCTTCCTTAGTGTCACTTATAGAGGTTAACCACAGATGCAAAAGAATGGAACGACGTGGTAAAGCTTTAAGCCATGCAAATGTATGTATTTTGTTCCATTGTGACGGTATTCAAAACAATTCATGCTTGCATTATTCAGTGACAGGCTCTTTTTTATATTTGCGTCTTATTCGGTTTTCAATGTTAAATTGCTTAAATATTTCAAATTCAAAGACTTCTCTATAGTTTAAACTTTCTTTTGCAGAGTGGTATTTTCGGTCAAAGTTAAAAGCAATTTTTTCGTAGAAGAGGGGGTGGCCCCAGGTGTGTGCTGCACCATTGGCTGCTACGCCACTGTATGAAGCTACCTTGTTAATTTCCCCTAACAACTGCGTGGACTCCAGGATATTTCCCATGGCATTTGAAATGGTTCAATGCGTCTGTGTGAAATTCAATAGCATATCAAGTATGTTCATATGCTAATGGTTCAATGCGTCTGTGTGAAATTCAATAGCTTATCAAAAATGTTTATATGCTAATGGTTCAATTCGTCTGTGTGAAATTCAATAGCATATCAAGAATTTTTATATGCTAATGGTTCAATGTGTCTGTGAAATTCAATAGCATATCAAGTATGTTCATATGCTAATGGTTCAATGTGTCTGTGTGAAATTCAATAGCATATTAAGAATGTTTATATGCTAATGGTTCAATGCGTCTGTGTGAAATTCAATAGCATATTGAGAATTTTTATATGCTAATGGTTCAATGTGTCTGTGAAATTCAATAGCATATCAAGTATGTTCATATGCTAATGGTTCAATGTGTCTGTGTGAAATTCAATAGCATATCAAGAATGTTTATATGCTAATGGTTCAAAGAAATGAAAAACCAGCATGAAAGAGATTTTAAAAATTTACAAGACCCCCATGCTGTCGTGTCGATTATCCGAATGGCGGCTGCACGATTGTGACAGTTGCCAGACTCCAAAATATGATTAACAGTTTTAGTAGAGGATTACAGTCGCCGTACGGATATGAGGGGAAAGCACGTGGCGACCCTTACCGGTGATTCCAAATATGCAGTCTTGGAACGTACTGCTCTTGGGTAAGCCTCGTTCTCTCCCAGCTGCGGTGCAAGTTAGTCACACAGCAGAAAGCTACGTAATCCCTATGAGAGGGCGTCTGTTAAACACCTACGTGGCCCCTCGGGGTGGAAAGTGGGGGGGGGGCTTGACTTAGAGAAGTAAAATATATCCACCCAAACTCTAGAAAGTCTGACCCGGTTGCTGTGAGAGCAGCGCCCCGGCTGGCCAGGCGTCTCTTCTTTGATGCCACCTCACTCGCATAGTCAATCGATTGGAAGGGTGGGTATGGCTGTCTCAGGGGTAAAATACTCCAGGCGTGCCGCTTCGTGGCCCGACAGGGATAAAGACCACTGGGGGAGTGTTGATAGCAGGTTGGATCAGCCGGGGGGGGGGGCGTCGGGGAAGACCTTATGAGCTCTGGCTCGATGGTCCTTTTGAGCTCTGGCTCGATGGTCTGATGATAAAAAGTAAGTTAGCAGAGGTTCCCAGCCTGTGCTGTGGTGACCTCAAGGTAAAATACTCCAGGCGTGCCGCTTCGTGGCCCGACAGGGATAAAGACCACTGGGGGAGTGTTGATAGCAGGTTGGATCAGCCGGGGGGGGGGCGTCGGGGAAGACCTTATGAGCTCTGGCTCGATGGTCCTTATGAGCTCTGGCTCGATGGTCTGCTGATAAAAAGTAAGTTAGCAGAGGTTCCCAGCATGTGCTCTGGTGACCTCAGCGGCTCTGCGGCCGCTCCAGGAAAACTCCCAAACACTATTAACATTGTAAGCCATAGAGTACCATTCCGATGGTGCTCCTCCCCAACATTGCAATTGATTCTAAATAGTATCCTCGCATATCCCACACTGTTTCATAAAATAAAATTTAAAAAATGCAAAATTAACCATAATAGATTCATTTAGCTGCCTATGAAAATAATTGATAGTAACATTTAAAAAGAAAAAAATCTTTTTGTGAATCATCGTTGATTTAATTGATATATATATAGTCTCCTCCAAAACAAAAAAAAAACAATATATATATATATATAAAAAGATAGTGTTTTTTTTTGTTTTGGAGGAGACTAAAAGACCAATAAAGAAAAATTACCTTCTAAAGTGGTTGGCCTGACGCATTTGTCCCATTGCTCACACAAAACATTGAGTCACGCACCAGGATCTAAGCTTGACCTTACCCCGATGACTACTTGAAAGGGGAAAAACAAATCCCAAACAATTATCCCCTGGCTTGCATACCCAATTTCAGGATGTGGACCTCCATGCTAAGCCACGCCCATTTCGTTTTGTTCCGCTGTCTCGTTCCCCCCCCCCCAGCCCCCACACCACCACTGATTTCATTATCTTTTTTAACCTCCTTTTTCAAAGCACTTTCAATACCGGGTCGTACGACGTAATAGCTTCCGTACAGGTATATCTATCATGGAAATTCTCATTTGTTCAACTTGGTCATATTTCTTTAAGGAGTGCAGACGCTGTTTAGATAAAAAAAAACACTATCTTTAATCAACACATACTATTTTTTCGACTTAGTAATATCGCGTTAAGGAGTGTAGACGCTTCATAGAGAAACATCAATCGTTCATCAACAGATAATATTTGTTCGACTTGGTAAGTACATTATGATGTCAAATTTCTTAAATGTAGTGGAAAAATAATTATATGCTGGCAACTTTGTATGATCAGAATTAATCAGAAATTTTTGTGAGAAAGAAAAAAAAAATAAATTAAAAAAAATTGTTGATGTTAAGGAAAATAAAACAGAGAATATTTTTATTTTTTTCAAGGTGGCAACGAATCCAGGACGAAAATAATACGTACAATTAACTTTGGAAGTTAATAATTTAGAAGTGAAATCGTCAGTGATAATTTCAAAATATGGCCAACTTCTCTAAGAAAGCCTCTTATTTGGAAGCCTGGAGAATAAACAACAATGCGATTACTTAATGCGTAATACTTTTTTCTTTTCTTCCTTTTTCGCGTGCGCTGTTTTTGAGTTTACTATTCCTGTTAATAGAGGAATGGTGATACATGTACAGTCATAATGTTGAAACCTTTGATGTCTCAGCAATTTTTGTGTTTAAATTAAAGAAATGATTAATAATAGACGTTTAAAAAAAAAAGGAATGTATAATGATCAATATTTAAACTGTTTTAAAATGTATCGATTCGATTAGTATAATTTTAAATGTGTATCCGTTCGTACATGTATGTATTTTATTTGATGTATTATTTTTGTCGGATGCAAAAAATTAAATTTAATAATTTTTATAACTATAGATTTAACTTTTTGCATACTGTCTTAATTTACTACGTAAATAATGTTAATTTAAAAATAAATATATTCAGTGAAAATTTAAAAATGTATTTGCGTCAAAAAACCTAACAGCAGAGAATTTCATCGCTGACTGGCCATTAGAGAAACACGAAACGTCTTACGGTAACTAATAGGCTAAGAGAGGAAGGGTGGGCCGTAAGTAGGTGAGATGTAAAATGATACCCTAATCCTAACGGATTAGCAAAGATTAAAATTCCCTCCACACGAGAACAATGGATTAATTTCGACTGCCACAAAATGCTGCTGAATTTTTTTAAATTTCTATTTTTTTTTTTCAATTCCCTTTTAAAATCATGACCATTAATTTATTCATTTAACCAAATGCCGATTCTTTACCTCAGGAAAGGTTGTTTTTATAGAAGAAAGTAATAACATATACAAAAACAAAGATGGCACTATGGGCTCCGGTACTTACGGCTGTCTTGGCTCTGATGGCCCAGAAGACACAAGGTGACTATACCTTTAGTTTAGATAGTTTAGCATTAAATGGACTTGAAATATATTACGTAAAATCTTTATATTTGTTTTGTTTCAAAGTTTTTATATGCATATTGATTAACTTTTTGCTAGTAGCATATGTAGCCTTTATTTCGAATACCACTTTAATTTTGAACGGTTCTATACTGCTCACAAGGAAACTTAATCATTCCATCTCTCCTTCCATCCAACTATGATATAAAACAAAATATTTTACACAATTCTATATATTATATTAAAATTCATAAATTAGAACCAAAATGATATCAATTTTCTAAAACACCTACAACCTCTTCAATGAACTCCTATAATTTGTAGTTAATTTTATAATGCGTTGTATTTTCTCCCACAGCTCAAGTCTACGTCATCGAGGGCTACTTTGTGACGGACTACGAAGCCGTGATGTCGTGAGTCCACAATAAGTTACCATTAGCTACCATTAGTTACCTTTAGTTGCCATTAGTTACCATGGCATAAAACACTGAAGCTACTATTAGTTACCGTAAGTTACCATTAGGTGGGCCATACCTTCTCCTTAGTTATCATAAGTTACCATTAAGGGCTATAGGATTTCTTTGGTTACCATAAGCTACCATTAGTAAAAAAAACATATTGTTTTTGGTACGTAAATACTTGCAAGGGAAGAAGGGGGGGGGGCGAGAGCGCTGGCCCCCGATTCCATCATATTTAGACAGGGCGTCCAGAGTCAGTTAAAAGATAAAATGGCACGTGTATTTACAAAAACAGGGAGGGCAAGAAAATCATCTTTTCACTGGTCCGCCTCGGGCGACACTTGTCCTCGTTAGTGTCCTGGTGGGACGAAAGCACTTTTAGTTTCCGTTTTAAAAAACCACATCAAAACAAACAATCCCACTATCAAAACAAACACTGAACACAACACCAGCAATAATCCCACTATTTTTGTTGTTTGTTTTTCTGTTGACGACCCTCTCATTGATACCGTGATTGACTCGGCTACGGTCGTCTAAGCACAGGATATTTCAATTAATGCACCACCTCCGGTGTCGACATTGTTAATGAAACGAATGTCATAACAGTTGAAGCAGCTATGTAGGGAATGTTTCATGAGCCTCAGCAGTACTAATGGACTGGCATGTTGTTGTAGCAAAGATGTCACCTTATCCTGTGTTAATAGATTCGTAAAGGAAATAACGCTAAAATTTTAACGACAATGTTTTTTTTGTCCTTTCTTTTCCGGCCAATTGGTTACTATCAAAGTATGGATACCAAAAATATATGAATTTTAGTCACTAGAGCAATAATCTGGACAATAATCTGGACAATAATCTGGACAATAATCTGGACAATAATCTGGACAATAATCTGGACAATAATCTGGACAATAATCTGGACAATAATCTGGACAATAATCTGGACAATAATCTGGACAATATGGAGTATGGAGTTTCAATGTTTAAAGTTAACAATCTGACTTCTCGTAGCTATACACCCCTATAATTCCCCAACCATGCCCTAACAACACCCCCCCCACATAAGTCCACAACCATGCCCTAGCAACACCCCCACCCCGACCATAAAAAACAACAAACAAACCAACAACAAAAGTTAGAAATGATCAGACAATAACTTTCTTTTACTTTGATATTTCTTCCTTTTGCCAATTCTCTAATATCTATTAGTGACCCCCATCACCTAAAGACCCTGGTTTTCAACCCACTGGTAAGTGACCACAAAGAAGGGTCGCGGATTGTTTTCTGTCGGGGTCGCCACCACCCGAAGCAGAAAGAAAACTAAAAAACTAAAAATATATATGTTAAAGACATTTTCATTTTTAATGTGTATCAATGAAATTATAATTGAAATTGAAATTTGAAAAAAAAAAATCTATATCCATTTATTTTCTATTCGATGTGTTTGATTTCACCATATTAATTAATTTGTGAATATGTTTTTGCTTCTTTAAAATAGAGTCTCGGGTTAATAGCGTATATAAAGTGTTATAAAATTTTATCCCACCTGTATGGTCTGGAAAATGAGGCCTTTCTAATCATGACAGGATAAAAGTTGTCACTGTAATGGCCAGCAGGGGGTTGGCAATGGATTGCAGCCCATTGGCCAGTTGGATGCTCGTTAAATCTGGCTGGGATATCCACCACGTCGGTTAGATTTTCCGAAATTGTTGTTCCGAAATAAGGATAGCTTTGCAAAGACTGAAATTTGACAGATTTTTTTTTCTTCATATAATTCAATTCACAGTTTACTTTCTATGTTTTGCATACTATTTTTTACTTGTGCATACTATTTTTTACTTGTGCATACTATTTTTTACTTTTGCATACTATTTCCTGAGCTGAAAACAAGTACATTTTCATCGGGAAAAAAAAATTAAAATTCATTATATCCGCCCCTAAAAAATTCTGAGCCGCAATCAGTATCGCATAGGCCCGTGTCTATTTAGTTGTACGCATGAACAATGTTGCCTGCTGAACACTATTACCATTTTGTTTCCAGAGTTGATCGTTATTGACGCACAAAGGATACACATTTTACATTCTTCTATTGCACACCTCCATGAGCATTTTAAACGACTCCAATCATTAGTTATGATGGGCGACGTTCAAATTTATGTCAAACAGAGTAGCTTTGCCCGTGGTTGCCACCTACTTTTACCTCTTTGGGTTGGTTCCAAAATCATGTTTGTTGCTTCTAAACTCGATTCCATTACGTTAACTAGGTTGAATTAAAACAGACCCAGTATCTTAGTTTTTACAATAAAATTTTTCCTTTTACTCTGAATAATCTCTTTCCTCTCAATTCACGGTGACGTCATTAGATCCATGTTTACTCAGCCAAACCATGACAACAACAAATGATATAAATGCGGAAATGATATTCAACAACCCCATATGCCCTTTTCTCCCCGAAAATAAAATGTTTTTTCGTTCGTAAATATTCCCAAAATTGTTTTAACTTAGAGAATATTAGCTGATCAAAGACATGAATCGTGTTTGCCTTGAGACTTACGGAAAGCGCACTTTTGCATTTGCTGGTCCAACAATTTGGAACGCCCTTCCTGTCGATCTCAGAAACAACCAGACATTGGAGTTCTTTAAAACCGATTTAAAGACACATCTATTTCGCAAACACCTTCTGGGATGATTGTTAACCTTATTTTCCAGTTAATGCATAATGGCTGTGTTGCTCCGGGTTGAAATGGCTAGAAAGACTTTGAGATTGTATGCTTGTAATTAGTTTTTGTAGTGTTGCGTTTGTTTTAAATGTGGTAAATTATAGATTTGTTTTTTGTTGACTTTGTACCGCGCTTCGAGCCTATAGATTTTTTTTTTGTTTTCTTTGTATAGCGCGTTGAGTCTTTGGGGATGAAGTGTGTTTTTTAAATGAACTTTATTATTATTATTATATATATATATATATATATATATATATATATATATATATTTATATAAATCTATATTCCTTTATAACGATTCATATTTTTGATCATATAAATATATTTTCGTTTACAATTCATATTTTCAATCAGCCTATAATATTCTCTATGTTAAAACAAAAAAACAAAAAATTCATTTCGCGACGAAACAATTCGTCTACATTAATTAGTTCTGAACGACTGCATTGTGGGAAACACAAGATTTCCCTTGAACTTGACATTATCAGACGTCATCAGTTCAGCAATGCCCAGAGGGGTGATGTAATGGTTGAAAAAATGTAAAGCACAGAAGCGCGGTGTTAGGTCATGCTCCCACGGTCTACTTTATCCGAAGTCATTCATGCATGAAGCCAGGCTTGAAAGCCTACAATTACCCTCTACGTATGGTCTCTCGAGGTCTTATGAGGTCGAGCTAACTTGACCAGTGATTGGTGTACCCATATCCAAGTTTTCGGACACACATTCCTTCTCTTCATCAAACACTGTTTATCAATTCACAAATTATGTAATCCTTATAATTTTATAGAGCGACTGACATATCTAGTTTCAAAGCTGACATACAAACTTGGGAGGGGAGGGGCGCACCTTCAATTTGTTTTTATGCCACCTGCAGATAATTTTTCTTGCAAGTGCGTCGCCGGTCTTAGACCTGCCCCCTGTCCGTACTAACCCTGGTGCTAGACAATGGAATTGAATGGTCACAAACTGAGGCTAGAGTAAGTGGCCTGAGACGTTTTAACAATAGACCAAGCGGCAGTGGCGACGCTACACCAGGTCCCGCCGGGTCCCAGGACCTGGTAAGAAAACTTGGGACCTGGCAAATGACCTGGTAAATTTTAATTAGTTACTAATATTGTATATATGCTCATTAAGCGTAAACTAAATTACATGTAAGAGAATTTTTTTGGGACCCGCCAAATTTTTTTAAGACCTGCAAGGGACCCACAATGTTAAATTTGATGGCGTCGCCACTGACCAAGCGTTTCATTAGAAAAAAAAAAAAATTGACACTTTAGATCCATCTTAACTTTTTTTTTGTTTAACAAAACCCTTTAAATATCAAATCATTCTTACAAATGTAAATTCTTATGTAGGTACCGACGTCATCAACAAGTCTTCGAACACATTTTCATAAAGCGTTTATTTTTCAAACGTTAAAAATGAAATTATTTTGAAAACGACCATTTATAAAAACGATTCACTTTGCTTTATAACAGTAAAATATGTTTTACCTTATCTATGTGATTTAAAATTAGCATTGATTGTCTGTCTGTCTATATGATAGTAGGGAAAATAATTCACAGTTTTCCTGTGATATTTTTTTTTCCGCGACATTTTTTCGCCGTGACCATATTTCCTCGGACATTTTTCCCCCTGGCAAAACTTGTCACATTTTTTCACCAGCCAATAGTGTTAGTCACATCTCAGATCAGAAAACGTCACAGGGTTACTATGTTTAGAACGTCGGACAAATATTTCTTTAAAAATGGAGCTTATCGTGTGTTTCAGGATATCGTTCGGACGGTCCTTGTATCTAGAGCCATTGTTACATGTGCGGACGATCCTTGTATCTAGAGCCACTGTTACATGTGCGGAAGATCCTTGTATCTAGAGCCATTGTTACATGTGCGGAAGATCCTTGTATCTAGAGCCATTGTTACATGTGAGGAAGATCCTTGTATCTAGAGCCATTGTTACATGTGAGGAAGATCCTTGTATCTAGAGCCATTGTTACATGTGTGGAAGATCCTTGTATCTAGAGCCATTGTTACATGTGAAGTACGCGCAATGAAGTCCCATTTCACAAAATAGCAGTAAAAAAAAATTGTGTAAAATATTTCGTAAAATATAGTTTTAACAAAGTTTTTGACTTAGGTGAAGGGCCTCTTCGCTAACTTAGTTGTACTGAACAGTGTTGACATTTTGTCCAACCCGAGTGCCCGGATGATTACATCAGTTCTATTAATAGATTCACGCCATTAAATAACACGCCCTTATAAGGGTTTGTCATTTCTAAGACCGGAAAACGTCACAGGACTCTACGCAATCTTGCTATATTTAGAACGTCGGACAAACATTTCTTTCAACGATCATTTCATATCGCTTCATTGCCTCAATAGCTCTTGCTCTGTGAATCCTAACCCATCTTTTTCATCTTTCTAAATCTTTAAGAGTTTTAGGAAATGGCTAAAATCCTACACCCTGCATGTGCGGACGATGCTTGTATCTAGAGTCACTGTTAATTATGCCTTGCGCGCAACGAGGTCCTTCCACGTTTTGAAGGCCCACGATCAATTTATTGATCATTCTGGCTCCTGGTTTGAATTAAGAGTTTAAGAGTTTTGCCTTCTCTTAGATGAGTTGCCGCCCAAGGCTAATGAGTTCACTCCACCCGGAGTGCTTGGGATGTTAGATTTGGTGGGGGTTGCGCTCCGGACCACCAGCTATTTGGATTGACTCAGTTTGGACCACTCGACCCCCCAGCACACGAAAATGTCCCATATCGCAACATGCATATCGTCGACTACAGCAATAGCAGTTGAATAAAAACATTGTGTAAAATATTTCGTCAATTATAGTTGTACACAAATTTTGATTTAGGTTGTGGGCCTCTTGGCTAACATGGTAGTGCTGAACATTTATTGGCATTTCGTCCGATCCGAGTACCCGGGTGATTACAGCAGTTGTATTAACAGATTTCCGCAATTAAATAAAAAACCCTGTAGAGACGCAAACACTTGATGAATGGCTTTGATTCTTATTTATTCAGTGTACCTGTCACACAGATTCACTCTGGTTACATCATCTCCTTATAACTCCATAGTCTATTCAAAAACACAGGTGCTATCACTCAGAAACGTCTCATGACTACGTCCTTAATCAACTCTCTCTCTTTCTCTCTCTTCCATATATCTTACGCTTTATATCCACACACTTGTTCATTATTCTATTCAGATTATTTATTTATTTATTTAGGCATTTTTATATAGCGCTTATCATAAAGCTCTAAGCGCTTTACAATTATTAAAACATATAAACTAATTAAATACAAATGAGACACTAGGATAGTAACTACTATTCTATAGAAACAATGAAAATGGCTATAAAAAGAGGACACTTTGACACTTCAGGATTAAACTGAAACAGAAAATTAGGTAGGGCAAGGAGGGTGCATCACAGGTCATAGGCGGACCTAAACAGAATACACTCAGGACACAACACATGGAGGCACCAAACAGTGTGCATCCTAACACCAGTTATTCGCATACCCTTGACACCTCCCACCAACCGTGATCCGATTCAATCCCTTGTTTAAAAACAAAATCTTAATGTGATCATGCAGTTAACAAGGTCGAGCTATTGATGGTTTGGTTGTGTGGCTATGAACCAGGAAGATTTCATTCATAATTTAGATTGGTGGCTATGAACCAGGTAGACTTTATTCATACATTGGTTGGGTGGCTATGATCTAGGTAGGTTAAATCATATATTGGTTGGGTGGCTATGATTTAGGTGTGTTAATTCATAAGCTCGTTGAGTGGCTATAATTTAGGTAGGTTAATTCATTATTTGGTTGGGTAGCCTTAGTTCAGGTAGGTTAACCCATAAGCTGCTTAGGTGGCTGTGAACCAGATATATTTTATTCATAAGTTACTTTGGTGACTATGAGATCCAGGTATAAAATAAGTTGCTAGGGTGGCTATGTACCAGATATATTTTGTTCATAAGTTACTTTGGTGGCTATGAACCAGGTATAAACTAAGTTGCTAGGGTGGCTATGTACCAGGTATATTTTATTCTTAAGTTGCTTGTTTGGCTATGATCCAGGTATATTTTATTCATAACCTGCCTGGGTGGCTATGAGACAGATAGGTAAATACGTAGGTAGGCCTGGCAGTACATGAAATATTAGTTATCTTGGGCCACTTTAAAAAAAAATTACAAGGAAAGATGAATTCTAAGAACATCAATAAAAAGACATATACAAAAAAAAACAAAAAAAAAAACAACAAAAATACATGAAAATATCAATGCACAAATTATGCGTTTTGATTCACACCACCACATTCACACAATCAAGAAATATGAATACTATTTTCCACAAAGCTTTTTAATTTTTCCCCAATACATATCTATATTAACATTTATTAAATTATTAGTAAGATCACAGACTTTTTTTTTATTTAAAAATAATGCCATTCTAAAACAGAGGACATATATTTTTCTAATGAAATTTTTATATTTTCCTTGATGTAATAATAACAAAAAGGTTACAGCACCGCTGGATGTTCATAAACTGGATGTTGTGCGGAGCCATCCTTTCCATCTCCGGATATATTCCATGTCAAGATCACAACCATTTTGTTCGAGAGTTCGTAGATGTTGATTTAATATTGGGGCCTTCGTGAAGCGAAGCATTAAATACATATTTCCCAACCACTTACCCCCTTTGTAAGTGCGTAATTAAACATAGGATTTATTTCTCCCCCCCACCCCCTCCCCCCACACACACTTTGACAGCTAATAGACACAGGGTCACGGAGCCTCTGTAAATATGTTGAATCAGACCCCCCCTCCCGCCTTTATGGTCGTGTCACGGGCCGTCACGGTCGTGATATTTACAAAGCCGCGTTTTGAATCACGTGGTCTGGTATTTTAGTTTGTTATGGGAATAACCATGTTTATTTCAACTACTAATCTCTCACCTACTTGTCTTCTGTGATAGTCCTCTTCGATACTGTAATGCAGCCTAAAATAAAAAAAAAATCATATTATTTTTACCATGGTTTGTTCGCTGAAGAAGGCTTCTTGCCGACACGTTGGTTGTTTTATTGCGTCTTTTTTTTTTCTTTTTTCCATTACTTTTTTTTTCGCTCACTCTCCCTAGACGTGTATATAGCCTGTTTCAGAGCTATTTCTAGAACGGGCTTACACATTGTATTCCTCTCTTGATTGGTCTTGATTTTTCTACATAATTCTAATAATACGTACCATAGATCTTATTCAGTTGTAAAGAAGTTCAAGTGGGATTATTTTTAATTTGCCCCACCCAAACGAGCTGTTGAAACTAGGGGTCAGCCAAAGTTCATTCAAGAGAAAAGATGACGTAAACACATCGTCTACATAACGTCATACTTAGTGTGTCTGCCACTAGCTTGCGTCTCCAGGTATCTCATACTTAGTGTGTCTGCCTCTAGCTTGCGTCTCCAGGTATCTCATACTTAGTGTGCCTGCCTCTAGCTTGCGTCTCCAGGTATCTCATACTTAGTGTGTCTGCCTCTAGCTTGCGTCTCCATGCATCTCATACTTAGTGTCTCTGCCTCTAGCTTGCGTCTCCAGGTATCTCATACTTAGTGTGTGTGCGCCTCTAGCTCGCGTGTCCACGTATCTCATACTAAGAGTGTCTGACAGTAGCTCCCGTCTCCATGTACCTCATACTTAGTGTGTCTGACACTAGTTCCCGTCACCATGTACCTCATACTTAGTGTTTCTGCCACCAGCCCACGTCTCCGTGTATCCCATACTTTGTCTGCCTGCCTCTAGCGCGCGTCTCTATCTACTCTTTGGCCTTCCTCTCCACAGTCGAATCCATGCTAGGGATTGTCTGGTGATGTTTTACGGTGTCTTACAAAGAGCGTGGCCTATCCACCTCAATAAATTCTATTTGACGTCTTCACCAGTAAGCTCTGGAGTAAGCCTTTACAGTTTAGAATCAAACGAGGATGCGAATGGGCCGACTTAAAAATATAATTACAGTCGATAAACAGTGCAACTTATAATAAAGGACGCATAAGAGTTTATACTAAACTATTTATTTTACTAAATTACTACTAAATTATTTCCTCTGTATTTTCTCTTGTGTTTTTTCTCCGGTGAATTTTGTGCCTTACATGCCAAAGATCATTCCTCTATTGGACTTTCCTCTCTCCCACCCTTCCACCTCCCACAGGTATGTACGTCTCATCCCAGGGACGGCATCTTTCGACACAAAGAAAGCCCAGGCGTTGGCCAGCATGAACAAAGACATCGACTACATCCTCACAGAAGTAAGTGTCGGCTTGTCTTTTATTTCTCACATTTCGCTTTGTCAGCTGCAGATAGTAAAGATTAAAAATAACTTTTTTAAAATTTTTATATTTGCCTTGCCCATTATTTGTATCAATTTTCACGTGATATTCAAGAGGTTAAATCAATGTTTTTATGAAATGTTGAAATTCTGATGAAAATCTCCTGTTCTTATATTTAAAAAATAATTTTCACTACACAGGTCAATCAGATACTGAGTACTCTCTCTGCGAATGGCCTCGTCATTGAATTGCGACTTAGAAAACTGGACATCTTGGTACGTATGCTTTTAAATAAATAACCGTTGGTTTAGATTTCTAACTTACCATCTTGGTTACCCGAAGTGAATGAAAAATAAATGAATCACAATGCAAACTAAAAAAAAGTAAATATATATACGAACCTAAAATTAATTTAATAAATGTGAGTTCTCCATTAGAATGGGAATAAAAGAAAATACGAAAATTCATCGAACATTCCATTCCACGCAGTGAAGAACACAGTACACAGTAACTAAAGTGATATCTAATGCCATTCGGTACACGGTAACTAACATGATATCTAATGTCATTCGGTACACAGTAAATAACATGATATCTAATGCCATTCGGTACACAGTAACTAACATGATATCTAATGCCATTCGGTACAAAGTAACTAAAATGATATCTAATGCCATTCGGTACAAAGTAACTAAAATGATATCTAATGCCATTCGTACACAGTAACTAACATGATATCTAATGCCATTCGGTACACAGTAACTAACATGATATCTAATGACATTCGGTACACAGTAACTAACATGCGTCAATTCATTGGTCTGCAGAACACCAACGTCATCCCAGGAACTAGTTTGTATCCAGGGGTTCCCAACGCTGTGGATTCGGGAACGGCCTTGAATAGCTTCCAGTCGTGGCTCAATCAGCAGAATGCCTACAGCACGTTGAACTACGACCTCGCCATTCTGTGGACAGGGTAGGTGGTTTCTAAGGGTTTATAAATAGGTATAGCAATGTCAAACAGGGTGGACAACAACAGGGACCCCCACCTGCCGGCGTTGCAGCCTGGTCCAAGAAACTCAGGCGAATCTTTTGACTTAATGTCCAGCACTAGATGTTTCCGGGGAGGCCAGAGCGGCGAGAGAGTCCACCGTCACGACGATGTTATAAGGCACACCCCAGTGGATGGCTCTTTCGGCTAATGTCCTCTCTTAGGTTTAAGACCGTAAGCTTAAGCCTACACCAGAATGTGTGTGTTAATAGGTGATGACAAACTATAACATGCGCCGACAAGCAATGTCAGACAGTAAACTACAACTGAAAGGAGCCGACAGACACTGAAGGGGCTGACTGGCAGGCACTAACAGCCCCTATCAGGCACTGACAGTCACTGACGGGCACCAACAGCCCCTATCAGGCACTGAAAGTCATTTACGGGCACTTGCAGCCCCTAACAGGCAATGACAGTCATTTACGGGCTCTAACAGCCCCTATCAGGCACTGACAGTCATTTGCGGGCACTAACAGCCCCTAACAGGCAATGACAGTCACTGACGGGCACTAACAGCCCCTAACAGGCAATGACAGTCACTGACGGGCACTAACAGCCCCTAACAGGCACTGACGGGCACCAACAGCCCCTGACAGGCACTGACGGGCCATGACGTAAACTGTTTCATCATATCACGGATGTGAGCGCTTCATTTGCATTCCATATAAGTAACCTTTTCTTAGCAATATCATATGCAGACATATTTTCGAAGTATTTGATATAAATCAAATGAGGACGGAAAATTGTTTAGAAAAAAACAAGACAATTAAATACCCAATACTTAACATCCATATAACTATCCAAAAAAACGTAATTGTTTTTGTTGCTGTAAAGGACAACAAAACAAGCATACTAAGAAAAGTTATTGTTGACATAACAGCTGCTGATGTGAAACGCTGCGTACATATTTTTAGTTGACTGGCTTGAGTTGTCTGTCACGTTGTGAAACGCTGTGACACGCTTTGACACGTTATCGCGCGTTTTGACATCTTATGACACGTTGTGACACGCTGTGACACGTTGACACGGACGAGCCCGTGAAGCTATTAATATAGCACTATCTGCACGGACACCAGCATCCAATGCTATTCTGAATATCCATATCAGCCATCCCATCAGTTTTAATTATATTGCGATTTAAAGCCATTGCTGTTTAGGTTTGTGACACACTTTGAAGGAGAGTCTTCATGTAGTCAAATATTTACCAAACAAAAAAAAACCAATCGTTTCTTTTTCTAATGAACTAAATTTATGATTGAATGTGGTGTCGCTTTACTTCTGATCCAGGTACGATCTTTACGGCTCTTCAAGCATTTTCACTGCTGGTACGTACGTTTGTATCGTCCTAACCTTTGACCCACATCGGTCTCATTTAAAGGGATTGCATAAATACTAATGACTCTTTATGTTGTGTTCAAAAGTAAATACTTATCGCTTTTTTTTTTTAAAATGCCATGATTACATGCAGCTGAACATCACTTCATTCAGCAAGCAACACATCCCGATCACGCCTTTCATTTATACGATATCCACGGTACTGTCTAATAATAATAATAATAATAATAATAATAATAATAATAAGTGGTCTTATATAGCGTGGTACTGTCTACTCTCATGCCCAAATATTCTGACGCAAAGACAAAGGGAACAGAGAAAAAAAAAGACAACGAAAGGGGTGGGGGTATATCAATATATAAATTGATTAAAAAAATGTCTTGGAGAGCAATATACCGCTCTAAATCGCGACCAATAAATATGCGCACTTTTCCCTGGATAATCAACTAATGTCTTTTACTCAACAAAACCCAAAATTGTTCGGCTTGCTAAGTTGTTTATTACTGGAGGCGCACCAGTATACAGCAGTTAAAATAAAACCTGACAATTCTTATGGGGAGGGGGGGGGGGTAACAAACCCCCTGCCCTACGGAATTGACGTCCTTGCTTTACGGCCTTTGATCAAATCTATGAATAATCTCAAACACTCAATCGTTTTTCTCCTCGATGAATTCACTCCTCATAAAACCAAACACATGACATTTCGTTTTTTCATTCTATTTTTTTTTGGGGTCATCTTCTCATTTGACCGACTTACAACACCCTATTCCATCCGCCCATCAGGCTACGCCCACGTCGGAGCGGTGTGTGACAGCAAGAAGTCCACGGGAGTCGTTGAGTTCAACGGGACGTACGGCACGGCGACTGTCACGGCGCATGAGATCGCCCACATGTGAGAAACGATGGACCGCGTATACGTTGTGGTTGATGTGTATGGTGACGGGACGTGTTTGTTATAATGATGGGTTTGATGCAATGATGTGTTTGATGCAATGATGTGTTTGACGTAATGATGTGTTTGATGCAATGATGTGTTTGATGCAATGATGTGTTTGATGCATTGATGTGTTTGATGTAATAATTTTTTTTTGCACACAGCGATGTGTCTGATGTAAGGATGTGCTTGATGTAATGATGTGTTTGGGGTCAGTGAGGTCAAAACTGACTAGGCCTAAAATGACACATTGTTTTAGTTTAAAGTTCATGTGACAAGTCATTCGTTGCGGTGAAGCATTGTATAGATCTGGGCACTAGAAGCGATCTGTTGGAAAAAAAAAACAACAACTAACAAACTACAATAGACAACTGATAGAGCGCTTGTGTTACACATTTGGAACAAACGATTGTATTAGGGGCCGTCCATAAAGTAAGTCACCCTGCCTTTGACAAATGTTCAACCCTTCCCCACTTTTCTTCCCCTGTTACCATCTGTCACAAATCTTGGGAACCCATCCCCTTAAAGTACGCCACACTTAATAAAAAAAAAATAAATAAAATTAAAGATTAAGATTGTTACTACAAAAACACAATTCACTTTAAAGAATTAGGCACTACAAAGTGACATCTTATTTCAGAATACACCCAGTACAAGAGAAAGTTAAACATCACTGAAAATTTCAGTATATATATATATATATATATATATATATATATATATATATATATAAAAAACAACAACAAAAAAAACAAACAAAAAAACAACAACACACACACTTTATACTTTATGGACGACCCCCATAATAATTTATAGTTATTTCCTTACTTGAGTTAGAGCGTTTGGTTACATCATAAATACAACATCAATTGCGTCATCACTTCAATCCATGACTTTACAAGTGACATTTTTGCTTACGGCGTAAATCTATGACACTGTTTGCGAGGGGGAATATCATTAAACCGGCTAATATAATCCCTAATAAAAAACGAAATTTCTAACTCTCATCTCCAGACTGGGCGCCGAGCATGGAGGTGCCGCCTCTAAGCATGTCATGACCTCCTACAGCGCCCCCGATAACGCCAAACGCTGGTTCTTTTCGCAATGCTCCGCCACTGACATCAAGGATTACCTGGCAACTCTCTCGTAAGTTTCTGCATTTTTTGTTTTAAAAAAAAAACATCTTTCGATCACATATACACATACTGTCGAATACGCATTCACACAAACATCCTTATACGCAAACACACACACAGAGGCAGACATACGCACCCAATCGCAAACATTTTCATTTTTCAAATGGGCGAAACATGCTGCGCATTTATGGTTTTACTCAGGGCGTTGTTTTGCGTCCGCGCCCCGGTGGTTGAAAGTCGTTCAAATTCTACTGCATTTATCTGTAAATTCAAATTTAGTCCATGGCGAAAAGAGTCTATTTTCATAACAGAACATACAAAACTCACCAAGTTAGTTTAACATTGCTCTTTGTCTTTTTTTTTCAAAATTTTGACACCAACTTCTCTACAACAAGTAACAATGACGAGTACAACAATTAACAATGACGAGTACAACAATTAACAATGACGAGTACAACAACTCACGATGACGAGTAAAACGCACTAACAACGAAGAGTACAACAAATAACAATAACAAGCATGACTAACAATGGCCAGCTCAACAACTAACAATGACGAGCACAACAACTAACATTTACGACTGTTTTCAACATTTGAATACTTGAGATTTCAGCTATTAAAAATCCATTATCATTTGAACCAAAAAAAAAAAAAAAAAAACAAAAAAAAACGAAACTCTGTCACTGTTCTAAGAAAATGAAATGCTTTTTGTTAGCGTTAGTTCCAGACAAACATAAGACGGAAAAAATTTCATAAAAAATAAATAATTATTTAAAAAAAAAAAAAAAAAAAAAAAAAAAACAAAAAAAAACGAAACTCTGTCACTGTTCTAAGAAAATGAAATGCTTTTTGTTAGCGTTAGTTCCAGACAAACATAAGACGGAAAAAATTTCATGACGTTTGTTACCATGTTATATTTGTTTTTGTTTGTTTTGTGTTCCCTCAGGCCAAACTGTCTGCTGACGACCAGCTCTTCCTCAACCAAACCTTCAACGACTTACGGCTCGTACACGGGCAGCATGCTGGATCCCGACGCCATCTGTCAGAGATCGCTCAATACAACAGCAACATACATGTGCAGGGTGAGTTCACTGAGATACGTGGGCAAGGTGAGTTCACTGACATAAATGTGCTAGGTGAGTTCACTGACACATGTGTACAAGGTGAGTTCACTGACATACAAGCAAAAGGGAGTTCACTGACATAGATGTTTTATGTCTTTATATATATAATTTTTAATTTGGGTAGATATATCCGAAATAACCCCCCCTGCTCCCCCCACACACACACCATCCCCCTCACCCTCAAGGAATCTCATATTCGTGAATGCCTGTACCTCTGCTCTAAACTCAATCAGAACGAATCGCTCATTTATTCTGCACTCTCCTTCCAAATTCATTCTTGTAGAAGCTCGAACAAACTTGTTGCTATGAGAATTGCATCCAGGTTCCATAACTCTACCTTTACCTTTCACTCTAAGTTATCTACCTTGTAGTTTAATACGCGATCGTATCATTCGGGACTGAAAAAAACAACAAACAAACAAGTTAAACAACACACACAAAAAAAACAAACAAACTAAAACAAACATGAAAGTTAACAACACCATTCTAAATTTAATTAGAGTTTCTATTTCCCCCATTGTTTTACTCAGAGCCTACTACAATTAAGGTTTTGCTTTGTTAATGGGTAGGCTACTCAACGCAAAGCTCCTATTCATTTCTGAAGTCATGTTGACATTTTGAGAAGGTAACTTTTTTTTTCTTTCTTAAAAGATTGAAATTCTACAGAGAGTGAAGCTAAAACACCCACCTTCCCATAAAGCCCCATACAACATCCAACTTACTCCTTTGGCGTTCATCTTCGTTTAACTGTTCGATGAACCGGAAAAAAAGAAATAATGAGAATCTCTTGTCGTTTACAGGCGAATGAACTTTACAGCAGCTCAACCCCCAGCGGGGACAAGGTGTGCTCGCAGATTTTTTGTGCCCAACCTGGCACAAGCTACTGCTCGTCCGCCTACGCCTCTGAGGGAATGGTGTGTGACGCCAGCAAGGTGAGTCACAAAGTTTGGGAATGGTGAGTGACGCCAGCAAGGTGAGTCACAAAGTTAGGGAATGGTGAGTGACGCCAGCAAGGTGAGTCACAAAGTTAAGGAATGGTGTGTGACGCCAGCAAGGTGAGTCACAAAGTTAGGGAATGGTGAGTGACGCCAGCAAGGTGAGTCACAAAGTTAGGGAATGGTGTGTGACGCCAGTAAGGTCAGTCACAGGTGAGGGAATGATGCGTGACGCCATCAAGGTAAGTTGCAGGTAAGGGAATGCTGTGCGATGCTGACATCAAGGTAAGTCACAGGTGAAGGAATGTGTGTGTTATGCTGTGAAGCCCAGTCAAGTGTGAAGGTATGATGACAGTAAGGTAAAGCAATGGGTGAAGGAATGGTGTGTGATTGCATGAAGTTAAGTCACAGGTGAGGGAATGATGTGTGATGACACCAAGAAAAGTCACAGGTGAGGTCATTGTGTGTGATGAAATCGAGGTAAGCCATAGGTGAGAGAATGGTGTGTGACGCCCCCAAGGTAAGTCATATGTGATGTAATGGTGGGGCATGAGTCTTAAGAACAAGGTACGTACATTAAGATGTGTCATTAATCGAACTCTTAACATTAGTTTGATTTCTCTTCACAGCGATGCAATGATGGCAAGTGTATACCTGACACTAGCGCGCCTGCGAATGTTAACCGTAAGCTCTCATGTGTTGTATTGTCTTTTTCTAAACACATTTTTTTAAAAATAGTTTTATTTAATTTAAATTGATCACTAAAAATTTAAAATTTGTTTTAAAGTTTTAAAATTTTATATTTTCATTAAAGACAAATAATAAAAATAATCAAAATTATCAAAACTTTATTTTGGCTTTAATTTAACTCTTTTCTTCCATCACCAATAATTTACGCCAGGCCTGCACAACTCAAAATGTAAGGTGGGCCGTAATACTTTCTGAAAAACTTGTGCGGGCCAAAAGAAAATAGAAATTGACTTGAGCGGGCAAAAATAAAATAGGCCAGGGGAAACTCTTTTCTAGAAAATAATCAGCATAAAGAATATTTCGTTACCTCGTGGGTCACCAAGTGGGTGCTGGCGGGCCGCATGCGACCCGCGGGCCGTATGTTGTGCAGGCCTGACTTACGCGCATACAAGAGACAATTTCATCTTAAAAAATCTTGTTTTTTAAAGCCAAGTGTCTTTGGGGAGACCAAAAACTTCTGGAACTGTTCAGCCTGGGGTTCACGGGTAACTGCACTACCTTCCTGGCCAAGTACGGGTCTTCCAGCTGCTACAACGACGCCATCAACCAGAGATGTTGTGCCTCCTGTAAGCCGTACTACACCGGACGAGTTGGTGAGTACAGTTTTATTATGGTGTGCGCTTCATTCACTTTTTCATTTTGGTGGTCATAATTATGACACCTTAAAGAGTTTAAGATTATATCGCCCAATTCATTATGGTGGGGCGTAGGGTAAGTGAGGTGACATGACATTTAGCGTTGATGAGTGACATCTTCAGTGGCTGCGAGAGACATCTAGGGGCGGATTGGTGCCCCGGCACCTAAAGGGGGTTAGTGAGTCAGTGAGTTATTAAGTCAGTGAGTTATTGAGTCAGTGAGTCACTGAGTTAGTGCGTCAGTCAGTCACTGAGTTAGTTTGTCAGTGAGTTATTGCGTCAGGGAGTCACTGAGTTAGTGTGTCACTGTGTTAGTGAGTTAGTGAGTTAGTGAATTAGTGAGTGAGTGAGTTAGTGAGTCAGTGAGCTAGTGAGTCAGTGAGTTAGTGAGTCAGTGTGTTAGTGAGTTAGTGAGTTAGAAAGTGAGTTAGTGAGTCAGTGAGTCAGTGAGTTAGTGAGTCAGTGAGTTAGTGCGTCAGTGAGTCACTGAGTTAGTGTGTCAGTGAGTCAGTGAGTTAGTGGGTCAGTGAGTCACTGATTTAGTGAGTCACTGTGTTGGTGAGTTAGTGAGTTAGTGAATTTGTGAGTGAGTGAGTTAGCGAGTCAGTGAGTTAGTGAGTCAGTGAGTTAGTGAATCGGAGAGTTAGTGAGCTAGTGCGTCAGTGAGCCAGTGAGTCAGTGAGTCTGTGGGTTAGTGAGTTAGTGCGTCAGTGAGTCAGTGGGTTAGTGAGTTAGTCAAAACTCACAACAACGTAAGGTTCAGTTACATACATGTCTAGCTGATGTTAAAGAAACCATTGGTGATCTATAGTAATTATATTGTTGTATGTTAAGTTAATAATTTCACGTGGAAGTAACGCATTGCATAATTATTATTTGAACATTGACATACACTGACTGATCAAACTCTGAATATTTACACGGGTCCACATATTGACTAAAGACATACTGTTCAAGTCCAGCCATAGGCCAGTCAAGCAAAAACATCACCCCGGGTGGATGAGACTCGTTAACCTTGGTCAGCAACTCATCTGAGAGAAGGAAACTCTGAATTCAAACCCGGAGTTGGAGTCCCGTAAGGCACACACAATGACAATTCCTGCAACCGAACCCATCCCTGGTCGTCTTGACGTAGAGTCTTGCCACTGGATATGGTGGGCCCGGACGAGAGAGTGAGGTAGACGCCGCGCAACTCTTCTTCACTTTAAACAAAGTCATCCGCGCAAGTCATCAGTCACCAGACGACTCGATGGTCCTCGTCGATCCTCGACGGACGAACAATAATAATATACTGTTCATGTACACGCATGGACTGATCAAACCCTGAATATGTACACTTGTACACCTATTGACTAATGACACACTGTCCACGTACACGCATTGACTGATCAATCTCTAAGTATGTACATGTGTACACAATGGACCCACTGCCCACGTACACACATTGACTGGTCAATCTCTGAATATGTACACGTGTACACATATTGACTAATGACACACGGCTCATGTACGCACATTGACCTCTGAATGTTCACCAATCCTCTCAGGCTGTGAGTACGGAGACAAGTCCACCGATTGCGGCAAGTACGCGAAGTCCGCTGTCTGCCCACAGTACAAGACATCAATGTGTTGTAATTATTGCTAGTAAGTCAAGTTATGTTTTGCAATGTAAGATGATACAAAAGTAAATTGATACAAAATGTGGATGGTACGTAAGTAAATTGATACAAAAGGTGGATGATAAGTAAGTAAATTGATACAAAAGGTGGATGATAAACACGTAAAATGATACAATTTCGGGTGATAAAAGCGTATAGTGCTACACCACTCTAGATGGTACAAATAAAAAAAGATACAAAGTAAGATGATACAAAATATAGTTTATACAAACGTTAGATGATACAAAAGGTAGATGATACAAAAGGCAGATGATACAAAAGGTGGATGATACGAGAGTTAATAATACAAAAGTTAGATGATACAAAAGTTAGATGATACAAAAGGTTGATGATACTAAAGGTAAATGATACCAAAGTTAGATGATACAAAATTTAGATGATACAAAAGTTAGATGATACAAAAGTTAGATGATACAAAAGTTAGATGATACAAAAGCTAGATGATACAAAACATTAGATGATACCAACTGAATCTAATAATGTATGTCTTGCAGTGGTTTTGTTAGCAAGAGGTCAACGAAGCAAGACAGGCCAAGAGGCAAATTCGACGTCCTTCTTTTCCCAACCCTGGGCGCCACAGCCGTGCTCAACGTGACGCAGTACCCAGTGCCATTTGAAGGCACGAAATCCAAGGGTGACAACTCAGAAGATTAAAAGAGTTCTTTCATATATGATTTTACCAAATGTGATCGAAAATAAATGTTAAATTTTTTTACACCCCATCCACCTTTTTCTTTTTTTTTAAAAACGAAATTATTGTTAACGCGTGATATTTTAATGACAATAATTTAGAATTGCACTAGTATCCGATATTTTTTAAGGAATATATTTATAATTTTTAATGTTTTTTTTTTTTTAAAGTTGACAAATTACGCCACTGGTTCGAGACATAGTTAATAGCTGCTCAATATCATTACAAATAATGGGGACATGTTTTTGAATAAAAATTCAGGTTTTGAGGAATTTACCAGCGGGCTGCCCCAGCGGTTTCCATTGTAAATGATCACTTATTAAATCGTTATATATATATATACAGAGGCGTAGCGAGGGGGGTGGCAGGGGAGACAGATGTCCCCGGGCGCCAGCTAGTTAGGGGCGCAAAAATGTGCTTTGATATTATTTTATTGATACAAAAAATGGGTTTGAGAGTTGAAAAAAATAAAAAGGGGCGCTTTAAAATGGATCTTGTCCCCGGGCGCAAATCTTGTCCCCGGGCGCCAAACACCCTCGCTACGCCTCTGTATAGATATATGTCTATGGGATGGCTACGCTGGAGAAATGATTTGGATGTCTTGCGTTTAAATTGTTCCAACTGTATTATGTTGCCCTAGTTAAAATATGAAGTTTTTATTTGTGTGCTGAAAATGAATATGTAAATGGTAATAAAATTTAATTAAAAAAAATTTAAAAAAAAACCAAAAAAAAAAACAACAAAACAAACAACAACATTGCCCTGTCTTTGGATTGATAACATAATCTTATCTTATTTTATCTATCTTATTTTACTTTTCTTATCTTATCTTTTCTATGACGAAGCTATAAACCTCATATCTGGCTTTCCATTACTGGAGAGAATCCCTTTTTAATGGAGCTATTCTACGGCCAGTGTTGCGAAATGTTTATTTACATAGCGTGACTCGGAGATTTTTCTTACACTTGAGTTTGTATAAGAAAAATGTGTTTTGGCCTAATTCTTTGGGATAGATTAGTTCAGTTTGAAAACAATTACAAAAAAATAAAAGAAAATTAAATTGGCTTATAAACTGACCTTCCACGAAAAGAAGAAACTGTGATACAGTGAATATATATATATTTTTTTTTTTTTACTTTCATAAAAATATCTTGATCTCGGCATTGTCTGGCTGTTTCAATGTTTCTTCTTCTGAGAGAGAGAAAGAGAGAGAGACAGAGACAGAGAGATACAGAGAGAGAGAAAGAGAGAGAGACAGAGACAGAGAGATACAGAGAGAGAGACAGAGAGAGAGAGAGAGAGACAGAGAAAGACAGAGAGAGAGAAAGAGAGAGACAGTGAGAGACGGAGAGAGAGACGGAGAGAGAGAGAGAGAGCGAGAGGGGAATTGATTAAGGACGCGTTTCAAAAAAGGCTGCTTAAATTGTTCAAGGTAGACCTGCTTCAACTTGCTGGACTTGCGATATGGTTAACTTGGCCGTACACGACCCTAGGCTGTTGTGTCGATTATCCCAATTGCGGCTGCGTGATTGTGATGAATACCAGTGTCAGAAACACGACTTATGGTTACAGAAGAGGTTCCCAGCCTGTAGTGTGTTGTCCCCCACAAGCTTCGCTTACGTTCTAGGAAACGCCTAAGGACTATTAGCTTGTAAGACATAGGATACGCCTATTGTGCTCCCGCGTAGAAATTAATTCTAAATAGTATCCCCGCATATCAAACTCTGGTTTAGAAAATAAAATAAAAAAATGCACAATTAAACATAATAGATTAATCTAGCTGCTTAGGTCACTAATAGATGGTGACTCAAATTAAACATAATAGATTAATCTAGCTGCTTAGGTCAATAATAGATGGTGACTTAAATTAAACATAATAGATTAATCGAGCTGCTTAGGTCAATAATAGATGGTGACTTAAATTAAACATAATAGATTAATCTAGCTGCTTAGGTCAATAATAGGTGGTGACTCAAATTAAACATAATAGATTAATCTAGCTGCTTAGGTCACTAATAGATGGTCACTTTTAAATTAAAAAAAAAACAAACATTGTTTGTTAATCCTCGTTGATTGAATTGAAAAAAAAATTGTTAGGAGACTAAACTACATACTTAAAACAATAAACTTTCTCCAAGGGATCGTCTGACGCATTTGTCTTATTGCTCACACCAAATATTAAGTCATGCACCGGCATCTACGCCTGACCTACCCCGATGACCACGACTTAAAGGTTAAAAGGACAACAACAAGCCCCAAACAATTTGCCCCTGGCTTGCATACACCCCCCCCCCTCCGGTTCCAGGAGGTCAACGTCCACGCTAAGCCACGCCCAACTCGTTTTAAGTAACGCCGTGTTGTTGTTACCCTCCTCGGCCACTGATTTCATTATTTGTTGACCTTATGTTCAAAGCACTTGCAATACCGGGTCATTTGGACGTCATAGTTCCCGTACGGGTATATCTATCATGGACAATTGTCATTTGGTCACCTTGGCAATATCTCTTTAGGAGGTGTAGACGCTGTTTAGAGAAGAGCACATTCTTTGATCAACACATCATTTTTTTTTTCGACTTCGTAGTATCACGTTATGTGGGTGTAGACACCGCCGAGAGAAACAGCACTCCTCCATCAACAGATAATAGATGTTAGTTTTGGTGAGTACATTTTAATGTCAAAAAGTTCTGAAAAATAATTCCTGTAAATGATCAGAATTAATAAAAAATTTTGGTGAAAGTTTAAACATTTTTTTTTTGTTTTTTAGATTTTAAGGAAAATAAAACAGAAACTATTTTTAGTTTTTTCGAGATAGCTATAAAATCCAGGAAGAAAATAATATGTGCATGCATCATGGGAGTGAAATCGTCAGTGATAATTAACAAATATGGAAAACTTCTCTAAGAAAGCCTCTTATTCGGAAGAATGGAGAATAAACAACAACGCGATTACTTAATGCGAATTACTATATATTTGTGTTTCTTTTGTGCGCATGTGTGTGTGTGTTGTTTTTAGTGCAATTTTCTTGTTAACAGAGGCACGGGGATCAAAGTACCGTTCTAATGTTGAAAACTTTGATGTCTCAGCAAGTTGTGGTCAAATTAACGCAATTATTAATAATTGATTTTCTTTTTAAAAGCAATGTATAATGATCAATATTTAAACTTTTTTTTTAAAATGTATCGAATCAAATATTACAATGCTAAATGGGTATCAGTTCGTCCATTTATATATTTATATTATGTATTATTTTGCTCGCATGCAAAACTTTCAATTCTATTTTTTTAAACTTGAAATAAGTATAGATCTTCTTCTTCTTTATTTTGAGGGCCCACGATCAATGAATTGATCAGTCTGGCTCCTATGTTTTATTATTTAGATTTAAATTTAACAATTTTTGATCATTATAGATGTATTTCATTTTCATACTGTCTTTATTTACCACATAAATAAGGTTAATTAAAAAATAAATATATTCAGTGAAAATTAACGAATGTATTTTCATCAAAAAACTAATGGTAAAGAATTTCCTCACTGACTGGCCATTAGTGAAATACGAAACGTAGTACGACAGTTCATTCTCTCATAGCGGATGGTTTGGACGTAAGTAGGTGAGGTGTAAATTGATACCCTAATCCTAAAGGATTGGCACATTTTAACATTCCCCCCCCCCCCCACATGAGAATAATGGATTAATTTCGACTGCCACGAAGTTCTGATAAATTTTTTAATTAAAAAAAAAAAATCTCTTTTAGAATCACGACCATTAATTTATTCATTTAACCAATGCCGATTCTCTACCTCATGAAAGGTTGCTTTTAAACAAAGAAAATAACAACTTCTACAAACAAAGATGGCACTATGGGCTACAGTGCTCATGGCTGTCTTGGCTCTGATGGCTCAGGAGACACAAGGTGAATACACCTGCTATTTTTTTTTGCGTTAATGATTAATGGGAATTAATCATGATTACGTGAATTTTTTATATTAATTTTTTTCTACAAAGTATACATGTAAATATTTGTGATTTATTGTGTAACTTTTCGCTAGTAGCACGTGTTGTTTTTATTTTGAATACCACTTTAATTTTGAACAGCTCTTCTCTCACATTTACACCAACGCTCAGCCCCTGGGGTCGCCCCCCCCCCTCCACCACGCGCTATTATACTGTCCATTTCCAAACTTTACCATTACTTCTCTCCTTCCATCCAACAATATTATAGAGTTATTTTGTTTGTTCTGATATACATTATTCAATCCTTAACTATAAATATTTTTAAAAAAAATATCTTCAATTCTATATATTATACTAAAATTCAACTAATTATAGAGTCTAACCAAATGACTTTAATTTTCTAAAACACCAACAAAGCTAATATTTTAATATATAATCATACCTACAATTGAAGTTTATATTATAATGCATTGTATTTTCCCCCTACAGCTCAAGCCTACGTCATCGAGGGCTACTTTGTGACGGACAATGAAGCCGTGATGTCGTGAGTCGACAAATAGTTGCCATTAGTTACCATTAGTTGCCATTAGTTACCTTTAGTTGCCATTAGTTACCATTAGTTGCCATTAGTTACCTTTAGTTGCCATTAGTTACCATTAGTTGCCATTAGTTACCATGAGTTGCCATTAGTTACCATATATCAGCATATTTCAACACTAGGGGCCATACTTTCTCCCTAGTTACCGATGCCAGGCAGTAGTGGTAGATGGCAAAACCTCCTCCTATGTCGGTGTTGAGTCAGGGGTCCCCCAGGGCACAGTGCTAGGCCCTTGTTTGTTCCTAGCATAGATCAATGATCTGCCCGAGAAGCTGACCTCTCAAGCAAGACTGTTCGCAGACGACACGGCGGTATATAGTACAACCGTCAACAGCTCTGACGAGAGCCAGTTTCAACAAGACCTCAATCGGTTAGCTGAGTGGGAGATGAGCTGAGACATGGAATTTCATCCTGTCAAGTGCCAGACCCTGTCAGTCTCCAGAAGCAGATTCCCTCTAAACCATTCTTACGAACTGCATGGCCATATTCTTGAGCCAGTTTCCTCCGTAAAGTATTTGGGTGTTACCATTCAAAGAGAGGTCCGCTGGGACGAGCACATTAACAGTGTGTGCAACCGGGCAAACAAGACCCTGG